ACCAACAAGATGACTTAAATACAAACTAACATTACAATAAATGAGGAAAACACAAACTGAAACCTTTAAAATACAGTTCATTCTTTTGCAGACCCCCTACTGGCCCCTACAGTTCTTAAACTCAGAAGCTTCCACTTCCTTTAACACAAAACTGAAATTTTATTTCAGAACATTCCCAACAACTCACTCATCTTAGTCAGCACTAAGAAATGAAGCACTGAGAATTACACTGAGTCACCGAGACAATTATAGCTTAATTTTCCCAAGTCACCCCCACCTTTCATAATACATATTTATTATGTCACTTCCCCATTGCTTTGTACAATTTATGACACACGATCACACAACACCACCACTCAGAATGTTGGTATAGCACCCTGGCTGCTGTATTTGACTTGACACTTCTTTGTTTCATATACACTCCAACATAGGAAAGGTTTGGATGCTATTTCACATAATAAACAATCCACCAGTCTTTACACCAGACAGTTCTATACACAAATGTTGAAAGTTGTCTAATCCAAATATAAAATACTGTGTCATTTATCCAAGGTATTTCCAAAGCCTCACCACTAAAATACCTCAGCAACTCCAATGAGAAAAAAACCAGAGCTTAAAAACTTTATAGCAGATGACCTGCAATGCCTGATATATCAGCCTCTTCACTGCTTGGGAAAATTGAAGTGTCTCACCAACTTCACACTAACTAACATAAATTACTCAAAGTTAACTAGTGAGTAGGCACAGAATATATAGCCAAAAACTTAAATCACGAAGGATGATGTAACATGACAAAGGAATTGAATTATGATGTTATTTCCCTTTCAACTGCAGAAGTTTTATGACTAAATTTCTACAGTTAAACAAGTTAAATGTACCTCCATTTTTGCTTCAGATGTGGAATCAGAAAAATGTATTGTCCCTGCTTTTGTCATGCAGAGCAATGCAAAGTAAATCTGACACACTGCAATATTAGAATTGTGTGGGTTTTACTTTTCAGAGCAGGAGACTGTGCTGTTCATAAAGAAGTCCATCAAATTTTGTGCTCATCTAATTTAATATTCTAAGTCAAACACCATTAAGAAGCACAAATACCTAATTTAAACTCATTTAAAGGTTTAGGGGATCAGTTTTTTAAAGCCTGCTCTTAACATGCACAAAGCAAATGGACTAAAACTTGCACCTGCACACACAGAGCTTAACACACCATTTTTACATCTAAAAATCAGAAGTCACTGACATAATCATTTTTTTTCCAATTGCTTTATTTCACACTTTGTTTTCTTAAAATGTGAGGCAACAAAAAGGGTTCCTAATATTGAACAGAGAGATTTTAGCTCAGATTCCTTACCTTTAGATTTTTCAAACCACTATTAATCTTCTGTATCCCATCTGAAGGATACATAAAAATTAAAAGCAATGTCATGACTCTTCCTTTTAAAGGTGATATAATATCCATTTCTCTTCTTCAAAGAATAAATAAAACAGGTCTGAGTGTTAGAAGTGTGATTCCACTCAAAATACAGAAAGAATTTTTATTTAGATTTCTCTAAGCTTTATACCTTTCTAACATGTCTTTATCTTTCCCAGCAACCAAAGGCAAAAAAAAAAAAATATGAATAGTGACAGAATGAAGGAAAATCAACAGACAATAAGTGTGAATAAACAAGTATCAGTAAAAGTCTCTAGCCACAAGAAACCACAAATACAAGCAATTAAGGCAATTGTAACAGATATGCCCATAAGGCACTTGGCCTAAGTCCATGTGCCATCCTTCCTAATTTTGGATAATGTTGTTATATTTGTGCTGATTGTATTGTGGATTCAAAGCAATTAACTGATTGTAAGTTACAATAAATGTGGAATTAGCATCCAAAGGGGTATTTCTTTCAGAGTAAACACAATGCCCACCCTGCCAGTACTTTTAGAAGGTAACATAACATAAATCCAAACCAAGAGCAACACCCACACAGAGCTTGGTGTCCAGAACAGATCCTTTACACAGACTGACCCTGTGCAGCATGACATTTTGAAAAATGCACCTAAACACTTGAAACGCAAGTGCATCACCTTCCTAAAGTCATAATTCAGGTCAGTGCCCTCAGAAAAACAATAGCCCAGAGACATTAAAAATGGAAATTAAATACTTCAAAAGGGAGCACAAGTGCAATTCTAACAAGCAAGTTGGAAGTCATATCAACATACAAATATATTACTTCTGGATATGGCATTATAACATTGACTGAAGTCTTGAGTCCCAAAGACCTCAAAAGTTAAAATAAATGCATAAATAAATATATTCAAAGGGTGAAAAATCTGCCTAGTAATATAAGGCCTAAAATCCTCACTTATTTATGTCACCTTAAAGAGGTGAAAGTAACCAAAAGTCACAGCAGAATCTAACAAACCAACTGGTACCAGAACACATTTTTTCAGAATACAGTGCATAAAGAATCTATATTCTTGAAATAATACACATTAAAAAAATTTAGACAATTTTTAAAATTCTACAGTCCACAGTGTAACAGTCAAAACAATGTAGATTTTGTGTATGTTTTCTTATGAAACTACTAAAATACTGTAAGGTTACCAGAGTGTCTAACTTTTTCAAAGTAGCCTCTACACTTAACTACCACCTGGTAGACTTCAGTCAAAATACACAGCAGGCTACAGCTACCGCTGACCTCAGTTTTGATTGCTGAATTCACTGAATTTGTAAGGGTCCAGCTGAAGCACCATAAAACTAGTCACCTTACATTAGTCTTTATGCTACTGCTCACAGTAGTAAAAAGTAGGTAAAAAATACAAAATGACTGCTAGTAATGCAGACTTAAAATGCCACACTTTATCATGGATATCTGAAAAACCTAACATGGAAATTTTGCTTTTTCCTCTCTTGTAAAATAGAGAAACTGATTTCAACTTGAAATAATTTCTCATTCTCCCCTTCCTTTTTCTTCCCCCAAGCTAAAAATACAGCATTCATTTATAAGACCAAATCAGAAGGTACTTGCTGTGGATAAAGACTCTCCTCTCCTTATGTAAGGACGCTGAATCCTGTAGGGTATACTTACTGCACACAGGAAAAAAACCAGAAGCACAACAGAACAAGGGAAAAGCAATTTTCCATTGCTCTCAGGCTCCTGCCCCTTACAAACACAAGTGGTGTGTACAAAGTCACGCAAGTTAACTGTGCAGATTTCTTTCCCTATAGTTTCACTACCAATGGGAAAGGTGCAGGCGTCTATTTATGTTCACACATGCATAAATGATCTGAAAAAGCCACTTATAGGCAGCTTTGATAGGCAGTGGGAGGGCTCTCTTAAATGAGGAGAAACCAAAGAATCGTGAAACATAAAAGCATTTCTAAAGTTTAAGATCCTCTAAATGGGGAGGAAAATACAGTAAGTGCACTTGGCCATTCATCCACTATTTACACTTAAAAACACAGAAGACAACTTCCACTAGTCCAGAGAACCAGTCAGGTTCCCTAGTGCTACTTACAGCTCCAGAAAGTGACACTATCCCACCAATTCCATCATGCTACCAGCAGAATTTTCCAAAGTAGTGAACGAGGATCTTGGTTATTCACAAAACCAAATGCTGAGGAAAGAACAGATTTTTTTTCTTTGGCCCATGATTACACTTTTAAAATCAGCTAAGCATTCTTTACTGGGTATGTATCAGTGATGTAGTTCTAGCACTCCTGCCTTCATGCAAATTACCAAACACAAGTCATTATATTAAATGAATGGCTGCAATATAAGAAAGGCAGACTTATTTACTTTCCTTAATGGGACATAAAGTATCTATTGCTTGTCAAATCTCTCCAGGTCCAAGAGAGGGGTGCTCTGTGAACTGAGAGACGATGACACTTCCATTATTCAGCACCCAGACCATCTTCCTGACAGGACCTTTAGGAGAGCAATCAATGACAGGTCATATTGCCTAGCAGGTCAGGCTGGCTGCCAGTGCATGATTTTGACAGTACATTATTCTGACATCATAAACCTTGATATCACTTCTCCATCTCTCTGTGAAAGACTTCCTCCCTGCATGCTTCTCCAAGTGAGTGCATGGACAGACAGGAAACACAGGCACTGTGGCTGAGTGCTATAATGTGTATTCCAAGAGCAGTAGCTCTCAAACTCCCCAAACACTTTCAGTGTTGATTTCAGCAACACTGAGCAAAAACCATAACAAAGGGCTGATATTCAACATCTTAAATTTGACCACTATCTGCACACACACCCAAAACCACCTGAAGCACCACTTGCTTGGTATTTGGACTACCTCGTCTGCCTACCTTCACCATCAATAAAGAATGAAAAAGTAACACAAAGAATTATTTATTAATATCTTTTAAACTAACAGTCAGTGTTTTCTTGTCCTGGAACGCATCTCTTGAAGACACAGGACCATCAACACTTGGGAGAGTCAGCAAGCATTTTCTCTATACACACTGGACTGTGGATATTTCACAGGAGGAGCCTCAGTGTTGCTTCAGCACCATCTACTGCGTTCACATCTACAACAGAGAACAGCTGCTAGTTAAAGGACAAAAAACTGTGACCGCCTCTCTTTCACCATTTTACCAACTGAAACCATTTTCTTTATGAGCAAATAAGCATTCTCTACCCTCTGAGAAAGGGTTATGCATTCCCCTAAGCACACTGAAACATTCTCAAGATGTACTTACCCTGGAACCAGGCTGAAACTTCATCATGGCATCTCAGGAACTGGGCTTCAGCTTCCTCTTCTCACCTCAGAGATGGACAAAAGAGGAAAGAGAATTCTTAGCACAGCTGCACAAGACCAAACATTAAAGAATCATAAAGGAAAAAATAAAACTTGCTCCTTACCTTCCCAGATTTCCCTGCTCACAGGTGAACATCCAAAAATACACACGTGGTCAGTCTCTTAGGAGGTTGGAGAGTCGATGTCAGCCACCAACTTCTGCGACTGTCCGAGTAAACAAGGCCTGGCCTCTGCCTACATGCAGAATTGAAACCACCACATGTAGCCAAATGTGGAGAGAAGCTGAACTGGACCAGCATACTGTGCTCTTTAGAACCATCCATCTACTGCAGCAAGCATAGAAGAGAACTTAATACAGCCCAATGACAGAAGAGGCTTTGGCAAAGCCCAGCTGCAGGGCACAGCACCCACCAACAACAGGCTCCTTGCAGGATGAAAACACCCTTGTGCAAGTTGCAGCAGTGTAATTTTGTATTGCAGGGTGCAGTAGTATCACTTCCTATTGCAAACTGCATGTTTTCTTAGGTAGGGCGAGGACTGCACTAGGACACTGGCATTTAAATTTGTTTATGTCATATTGGTGCTGTGAAACACTAATCCAGGGTACTTTGTTTCACATTTACAGAGAACAGAGGCACACAGATGGGTGTTTGTTTCTCATACAGCCCCCCTATCTCAGCATCTCCCACAGAGTAACTTAAACCCTCACAATACTCTTGCTAGATAACATATAAAAATATTAGTTTACAAATGGTATCAGACTCAAATTAATTTTCTTTCCCACCACTACACAGAGTCCAAAACCAGGAACTAGACCTGTCTCCATGCTTCTTTTTCCTTCATTTTCCTCCTTTCCCCTTCCTAATTACTCCACTGTTTTTAAGAAAGCTGTATTTCCTTGTTTTGTAATAAATTTACTCTTACACTACTTAAGCAGTTGAGACAACTTTCACCTATGAATCCATTCTGCAACTTTCAGAAAGCTAAACTACACATTGTCTGTTTTCATCAGTTTTAGTGCTGAAATGATACAAAACTTCATCCAAAGACATCACTAATTGATTTCATGATTTCATGAGTCATTAAAAATAAAATCCAATAAACAACCTTTTAAGAAACGGTGTAAAGACAAGCATCATCCAAACCAGGGACATCCAGCTGGCAGAAAGGGTGCTAATACACTAAGTGCATATCACCAAGAGATTTTTATATTGAACTACAAAGGTCCTAAATGTAGGTAAGGGCTCCAAAATTAGAGATCACCTTGCTAACAAACATCCACAGTGTACAGGCATTTCATCCACACATTTAACAAGTAATTTTTAAGTTAATCTTGCTTAAGGGAATTACGTATTTCAGTAACAGCTGAGCAACCCAAGATTTCAACACAGGTCAAATGTCAGTAAACAAACATGAACCAATGACCTGACTTGGACAACACCCCTTCAAGCTTGTGATGATTACCATGTTAAATACAGACATATAAAAATGTGTACAGCTCTCAGTGTGTGACAAGTAACAAATACAGCTTGTTCTTGTCACCTTCTCTGTTGGGCTTCGAGATGCAGTTTCATTTGTCCTCACGCACTTGGCAACCACACTCGAAACTCACTCGTCATCATTAAAATCTATATACAAACAATAATCTCTAAGTAATTCTGTAACTACAGAAGTGAAAGTAGCAGCTGACAGAAGTCTCCACGCTTTGAAGACCACTTTAGAAAAACTGAGCAGCACTTAAAAACTGACAGTTTTGTTTGTCACACACGGGACTTGAATTCAGCCATTCAGAAAGAGGCTCTATATAAAATATATAGGATTATATATTTATCAGTTACATACAGTCACGTGAGGCAATGTTTACAACTGGGGAGCAAGTTCCCTTCTTTCAGTCATAAACATTAGTTAAGATAATGGTTAATCTAGAGCCATCAGCTGCTGACATCAAGAGTTTTTGTGATACCACTTTCCAAAGAGCCCTGTCCTGTTTCTCTCTTGTAAGACCGTGTGTACTTGCTTTGTTATTCCCTCAGTCTAACGCTAAACCCCTGTTTATTGTTTAAAGAAACCAAAGACAAATAATTTATTAAATTCTACGGCGATATCAGTCCAAAACACGGCCTTTATTCTTAAATAAACACGCTGGATTAATCTAATCTACATCTGCTTGCACAGGACAGCTGAGGGCTGTGCAGAGAGTAACAAATGAAGCAGACGGACAACAGTCTTCACATTCATTTTTGCTTTGACTTAGAACCTTTCCCAAAGCGCCGGCAGAATATTTCTGGGATCCATATCCCAGAATATATCTGGGAATCCATACTTCCACGGGGAAAACCCCAAGCTCTAGCAGCCGAATGCGCCTCGCCGCTGAGCGAGCCGCGAGCACCTCCACAAAGCAAACACGTCCCACGGCCGGGTCGGTGACAGCTCCCCGCGGGAGGCACCTGTCCGCCGGGGACACCGGGCTGCTGCGCCGGCACCTCCGCCCGGGGAGAGAGCGGCGATGTGTCAGGCGGCGCCGCCGCCGCCCGTGCGACAGGGCAGGGCGGTTCAACCCCCGCGTAACCCCCGCGGCCGGGCCGGGGGCGGCGCTGCGGGGGCGCCGGTGCCGATGCCGGTACCGATCCCGGCGCCGGCGCCGCGCACACACAAAGCCGCTCGCGCGCGGGGGCGGTCCCCGGCCCGGCCCGGCCCG